CCTGCCAAGGGTGAATGAATGAGTTCATTATCAGAAATTTGATTTCATTACTCGTTTCAATAGTCCATTCGTCAAGTGAAGAGTAGGAAATTCAAACCAAGACTTGATCTACCAGTAATACTCGAATTTTGATTGGATTAATGAACAATGCACTTATACCATATTTGGAATGCTAAGCACCAGGACTTCTCCCTTAGTGGCAGGAAAGATATCAACGATGACTGACATCAAAGCAAGTTTTATGGAAGGGGCAGAGAAGGTAGGGTTTGCATCAAGATACCTAACTATTTTTGAAAAGGTTTGTTTTAAATAAAGTTCTTTAATTGAACCAAAATTCCGGTATTGGAGTGAATCTTGTTTCGAATTTTCTGCTCTTCAGTTGAATAACGGACTACTGAAACAAGTAATGAAATCAAATTTCCAATAATGAACTCATTCATTCACCCTTGGCAGGAACCCTTGAGCTGTTTTGACTGTAAGTCATCCAAGGTCATAAAAGAGTGGAAAAAGCAGCCCCCCATGTCTACTATGGGTAGATAAATAACAAACAATTAATTATTAATCATCCTATTTGTTATTATGTCTTATTAGGGGTGCATGTGGTGAAGTACGCCTAGCATTCAGCAAGGGAACTTGCGAGAAATTTGCAGTCAAGATTATCAGCAAGAAAACATTTTCAGTTGGGGTGAGTTTCATGTAAACCAGATACTGGTACCTTGTGTTCATAACAACACTGTTGGTAAGTGAACCTCAGCTTTCAGCAAAAAAAAATTAAGGTGGGATGGGTTTCATGTAAGTGGGTATAGTGGTACTGTCATAAGAACATCATTGGTAGAGAATTCAGCTTTGAATATATGTATATTTCTCAGCCTGTCTGTGCAGTTTTCTTTTTTCTTTCTTTTTTTGTTTTGCCCCCTATCANTTGGAGGCTATCCTCCGTTTTCTGAAGAAATAAAGAAGCACACGCTTAACGAACAGATTATCAAAGGATTATACACATTTCCGAAAACTTACTGGAAAGCCGTCTCGCCAAAAGGTAATTACTTCCAACTTGCTACGGTTTAGTCTCTTACACGGGCATTATTTGGGTTCCCTGGGATGACCCCTCGCCCCACACAACCGCCCCCCTCCCCATGAACGGCCGTCAGGAGAAAGAACCATTGTGGGACTATTTCTTACAAAGAAGTTTTAGTTTTTTGAAGATCGCACATTGTTTCTTCTCTTCGGAGAAGCGGGTCGCTAGATTTTTTGCGACATCATGACAGACGCATAGTAAATGCAATAGTGAAAGAAATAATGACACTCTTTTTGCCTGTCAGTCTTTTAAGATGCAGCTGAAAGGGATTCGCTTTAGTTTTTTCCTCAAATCAACAAAAAAAGAACAAGCACTGGCGAGTTAATGACTAATCAGTATTTTATTACTTATACTTTAGGGCGGTTTTCAATTGAGTGTCGTTAAACTAAAACCAAAGTAATCACTTTAGCCAGTCACAAAGGACACAGCCAATGCAGTGAACCAATCAAAACTCCAAGTAATTACATGTAGCTGACATAAAGCGCGGGAAAACTTGTGTGAGGGAGTTGCGATTGGTTTTGGTTTTACTTCTGATTGGATGAAAAAATGGCGCGAGTTTTTCAGCCAATCGTTTAACATAGTGATGCAAAACCAATAACGTTTCGACACTCAAAGGAAAACCGCTCTAATCTCAGAGAAAATCCTAAATTTGCATTTGCACAGTGTGATCTAAAGCCTGTACTGAGTGTTATCGTATAATTTCATTTACTTGATTGTATTGTTGTTCTGTTGTATAGCCATTGATCTAATTAAGAAGCTTCTGACTGTGGATCCGAAGAAAAGAATAACTGTAGAAGAAGCTCTTCAGCATCCGTGGATCTCAGTGAGTTTCTCGTCATTTTATTCTTAACTCATAGAAAATACCTTTTTCCGTTTACGATGCCACCTCAGTGGCTTTTTAAAACATCATGCAGGTAACTGATAAAGGTTATGTACAGTGCATATCTACCCTGGAGGAATTTGAAAACGGAGGTTTATTTCTCCGGTTAGGCCTACTGTCCACACTAATCCGTCACGAAAACGGAGCTTTTCGAAAACGCTCTTCAAACCGATGGCGTCACGATAATCCTGTAATTTCCCTGATTGAGTTTTCGTCAAACAGAAATCCAAAACGACCGGTGATTGTTGCGTTTTTTAATTTCTCCGGCGTAGTGTGGACGGAAAACATTTGTTGCGTTTTCAGAGTGAAACCTGCGTTTTGAAATCCCTCCAGCATAGTGTGGACGGGTCAAGTCTCGATGGCTTTTCAAAACACCCAAGTGAACTGATAAAGGTTGTGTGGGATCTGTTTGCGTGCACATTCCACAAGGAAAGTTCGTATTTTTTTACTTGCTGTCTTACATCCGTACTTACATCCATTGTGATATGGTTTTAGGATGACGAGGAAGTCATAGACAAAGCGAATCAGCTGATGTCTTCAGTATCATCAGACATGCCGCCACCTTCTGGGCCTGTGAGTACTGTGCACATTGAATTGCTTGCCTTAGCATGTAAAGAGAGAAGCAAATGAGCAACCAAAACAGTTTTTAGCTTTTAATTTCCAGGATAAATAATTGGGGAGCAGTGATGACGCAGTGGTGAGAGTGCTCGCCTCCCACCAATGTGGCCCGGATTGGATGCTGGCCCGGTGCCATATGTGGGTTGAGTTTGCTGTTGGTTCTCGCCTTGCTCTAAGGGTTTTTCCCCGGGCTCTCCGCTTTTCCTCCCTTCGCAGAAACCAACCTCTCCAAAATACCAATTCGATTAGGATAGACGATAATGTTGTTTTTGAAGAAGTTATCTTAGATCGATGTGTTCGAACCTTTTTACAATATAGCACTGGTGAAGGTAAACAAAAGCCACCGAAAATTTTGTACAGAAAATGAGACCGGTATAAGAAAACTTCATCAATTTGTCCATAGCCGATCGTGATACTGGTAGCAGTGTTTTTAGGTACATTTCTTTTGCACAATTACAATAGGTTTCATTCATACTAAATTCGACGTTTAACCATGACCTTAGAGAATCGATGAAGTCAGTATCTGCTCATAGAAATTCTAAATTTCTTAACAAAGTCCAATTAAAGCCGCGCCGGGGGTTTATTGTGTATTGTTGGTAACGACCATCTTGTAATGACCAACAGCCAATTGTTTTCTGAAAAAGAAATAGTTAATTACAAGCAAATTTTAAGTGAAAATTGGCCGAGCAGTCTTATTGAAATTTTTTCAGTGAAAACTGAGGTAATTTTTGTTTTCTTCTTGGGCGCAAACAAACATGGGCATTTGGGAGAAGAATTTCTCAGATTCTTTTACACCAGTTGAAAGTTTTTCTTCTGTCTTTTTGCAGGTGCTTAAAAAGAGGCACCCTTCTGATGAAGATGGCAGCCCAGGCCCCAGACGGAAACGAATCTCCACCGATAGTGTTGAGAGTGACAGCACAACAGTTCTTTCGTGACCAAATTACGCATTACCGTCACGCAGAGCTTAATTAAAATTGGGGCCGAGTAGGGTGCTTTCTAGAAACATAACAAAGGGCTTTTTCGTATGATGGTCGATAGATGCGGTGATGTTGAAATAGTATAATCTTTGAGTCGTTTGTAATGATTGCATGAACGCGTTGGAGGAGATGAAGGTTGTCTCTGTACCCATTCGGAAATAATGCGCATTTTCTGCCGAATCATCGTTTTATTTCCCAGGAGTTTACGGCAGTTTTTCTCCAATGGGTAAATGGTGTACTCCAAAGTGTTACACCTCAGCTTGACGTCATGTCGTTTCGTCATGTTGCTTAGCAACACCACTCATGCCACGGGTTTAAACTGAAAGGGGTTTTTGTTTCCCTAATTGCAGTCAAGACTTGACATAACATCATGGTAGTGGAAATAACGTTAACAACTGTAACTAGTATGTGTAACACCACCCTGTAATTGAAAGCTCACCTCTAGTGTAAAAGTCACCACCACAATTGCGGTTAAGAAACTGCAGACCGTGTCCCTGTGCACATATATCCCGTTTGGGAGTTTCTGCATCGTAACAGAACCCTAAACATTTTAAGGTTTAGATTTAGTTTTCTGACCGATAACCGAACTGTCATATCCTTACACACGCGATGTAATAGCAGTCCTTTGATGTGTGTATTTAAGGGTGCGTTCCTTTGGGGTGATCTGGATCAGGATCAGTGATCCAAGATCACCCCAAAGGAACGCACCCTTAATTGTTGTGGCTTCAACACCTCTCGTTCTCTTGACGAAACTCGGTGATCTTTGCCAGGTAAAGTGTTTATTCTGAAATAGATTCAAATGTGTTTTAAAAAGAGGGTGGGGAGGAAAGGAAGATGACAGCTTATTTTGGCATTTAGGGAAAACGTGCTACTATATCCACACACTGTTCAAGGCAATTAAACTAATTTATGCAGCCAAGTTGAAAACTTGGAACACACTTCATTTTCCATGTGTACAATAAGCTCCCTTCACTGTTGGGATGCCGGTCACGGCACGCTCGATCCCAAAACTTTCGCTTTCTTCACAGTGATATGCAAAAGAGGGGCTCCAGGGTCGAGAATGGGATTCTGGTCAGGTTACCCTATCATGACAGGAGAGTGTTACCTATAGGAACAATACCTTTATAGTCGCACCTTTCAAGCAATGAGAAATTTAATCATTACTGGTCCGTCTTCTGTTACTCACGAATATTAATATATAGTTTTTTTATGCTTGTCAAACAAGATCAATTATTGTTCAAAGTTGAACTTATCATTGTTTGGGTATTAAAGAAATGTCGTTTGAAACATCAGAGTCAGCTTTGAAGTTGGTGTGGTGAATGGAGACCAGGTAGAGGAACTTGAAAAATTGTATTCATGCCCAAACGTCTATGGCTAAGGCCCAGTTCAGACGAACTTTTCATGAGCCGAACCTAATACGTTGAATTAAGTGCATGAAAAGTTCGGCGTCTGAATCAGTTAAGGACGGCTATTTGAATTTGGAACGGCACAGCCGTTGTTCCCGCCTAGCTTAGCCGGGAATTTCGGCTTTGGAACGGCTTGGATTCAGACGTCGAACTTCTCATGTGCCGAACCTCCCGGAAAACCGCTGACCTTTCGATGTGTTTTGGTTCAAACTAAATTTTAAAAGTTCGGCGAATTAACTTCGACGTTTGAATCAACAGGCGTACTTTTGATAATTTGGGTCGGTCCAAATTCGAATTAAGTTCGGCAAATGAAAAGGGCCTTATAGGCGCCGTGATCCCATCTTCTCCACTCAAACTGAGCCTGTAAAAAACCCTCTCGAACATCTAAATTTGATAGACGTGTCTATGGTGGGAACAGAGCAGTGGAATTACTTATTTTCCACACGACTGTGATACTTTTTCCTTGTCTGACATCTCACAGGTTCAAAACCAAATTTTACAGATCTCATTGTCCCATAGTACCCGTTTTTGGCACATGTTTTCACTTCTCAAAATCGCGGAAATTTCAAACGTCCGTGATAAGAGAGATCATGCACGTTTGTTTTGTTTCTGAGATAAAATATCTTCACTTCCCACACTCTGATTTGCTATTAATAGAATATTACACACTGACGGGACTCTTTTTCCCACAAATCTGGTCAAACGCAATGTGAAGTTAATTTTTTTTCATGCAAGCCGAGCTTGATTAGTTTGACTACAGAGCAGTCGTGGATGAATGAATTGGCAACAAAAAAAAAAAACTTCAAAAGAAAGGGCTGGGCTTTTGGATTTTTATTATTTTAATGAAGAATTAGTTTTTAGCAAACGGAATACTTCGGTTGCAATTAAATGAACGGTCGAGAGCCATTGACTATAATGGTTGAGTAGAGGGGCTAAATTCTCTTTGCGTTGGTTTTGCATCTCGACGCTTAGGGATGGGTGCATCAGATTTTCTGTGTTCTTTGTGATTGGTCAGAGTTATTACTTTGGTTCTGGTGTAACGACACTCAATCAAAAACCGCTGTATTTAAAACGAAAATCATATGACTGCCCACACGTTTACGAGTTATTTAAGTCATATATCTGTTTTTCGCGCCACTGTGTCAAATCTGAAGCGGGCCTGGTAAGTTTGTGAAGGTATGGCTTTTGCGTCTGTTATGTAAGGGAGTATCAGATCTCCCAAAAACATAAACTTGGAGCACAAATCTAGCCTGCATAAGAGGGGTAAAACGGGGGAGAAGGTAAAGGGGAGTGGGGGAGTGGGGTATGGAGAGAGAGAGGACATTTTCATCGCCTCCATAGCCTGCGTAGCAAGCGTTTCTGTGGGGTTCGTGAGCAAAGAATTACAGAGCAAATAATGGAGCGACCCCATCTTTCTTTTTTTTTGGCTCTCGCCCCATTTTCCGCGCAGGTAAAACACCGAAAATCCCGTTCCTCGGTCTTTCTTTGCTCTCAATTCCCACGGAAACGCTTGCTACACAGGCTATCGCCTCCATTACCCCTTCCCCGTTTACGCCTGCATTAAAGGCTACCATAACTCTATCCAAATGTTTTTTTCACATTGAAAGTATGCAAAGGTTGCTTTCAGGCTCGCTGATGCATGAAAATTTGAGGGTCGTTGAGCAGTTTTCTCAAAGGAAACCGGAAGTATTTTTGCTTCATTACGTCACTTGTCTCAACGATCGTATGATGTCTCTTACGTGCGTGTGTCTTACATGACGCCTCACTACAAACAAAACATGGCGGACCGGCGATTGGAATATTTTGCTGTCAGCTATTTATAAACCTTTCATAACGTTTATGTCTTCTTTTCAGGCTGTTCTCTTACCACTGGTGAAAGTGCTCACTTCTCATTGTAAATTTAAATGAAATGCAAGAGAAAACCTACTTGAAAGTCGTCCTTCTGGGAAAAGTGAACAGCGGAAAAACTTGCCTTGTCACTCGATACATCACTCGCTCTTTTAGCGAGGAAACACCTAGCGTAAGTAGATTATTTTTTTCAACAATTTTTTTACAAAAATTTTTCGTTACTGTACGTTTAAGGCTTTAAAAGGAATAAATTCTGCGATAAAGTTGTATTTTTTTTACTAAAGCTTAAAGTGAGCTTATATTTTCACACAAATATAATTTGGTGTCGATATAATAAAGCTTATTCAAGGTGGCATATGTACTCTACCTTTTTAAATGTCCCTACTTTTAGGTGTTATAGATATAGGCGAGCTATAGCATTTCTAAAGCTTTAAACCCGGATTTGAATTGCTTAATTGGAAGGACATTGGACCCTCGCCTCTGAAACGCATTTATCTTCGTCATCACGCGAAGTGACAATTTCCTTCGAAACAAATTTAATATTGAATCGTTAGATATGCTTTGCGTGGCTGCTCTAAATAAAAATCAAAAAAGGGGGAATTGAAATTAAATAAGGAAAGTGAAAATGCGTTATTTGAATATCTCTTCAAACATATTTGTCGTTTCCTCTTCCAGAAGGTTCTCTTTTGGCCTCAGTTATTCCAAGATCATTCAAAAAATACAGAACGCTTTGTAACGGCATTTACATTTGCTTAAACATAGCCGCTTTAAATGGTGGGAATCAAAAGGCATAATTTTTTATCTTATTGTGAATTCTTCAGAAAACTGAAATGACAAAACTGTACTTGGTTTCATGTACAAACAGAAACTTATGCCATGAGAGTTTTTACATGGCAATCTGTTGAAAATGAGAACTGTGAAGTCTGGTTCACTGGGCAGTCCAAATTTTGCAACATGTACTGGGAAGATGTACTGCTCATGTAGTAGTCTCAGCAGGTTGCTTTTTCAAAACTTTACACCAAAGAAAACAGTTTGTTGTTTTTTCCTTTCATGGTTGGTAGACAGTATTATTTCAGGAAGGCAACCAGGAAAACAAAATTATATTGATTGAGTTCTACTGATTGAGCACTTGGCCAGGGTCAGTGTGTTAAGTGGTTTATTTTGTTTGCCAGTTTGCATGGTTCTCTTGGCCTAAGACATTTTACTTTCACAGTGCCTCTCTCCACCCATGGGTATGAATAGATACCAGGGAATTTAATGTCAGGGGCAACAATGTTGTACATTGTTTTTCTCTGTTATTTATTTATTTTCTATATTCTAATATTGCTGCTGAAAAACCCTTTTCAGGGATGCTTAATATAGTGTATGTAGCCCTGTGATGTACTAGCACCCTATCCAGGGGGTGAGGTGAGGGGGTGGGGGGTTAGAAATACTCATAGTCGCTAGTCGCTGAATGTTACAGAAACCAGGCTACGCTCCATTGTATCTGTATTAAGGCAGTGCAACAAGGTCAGTCACAACTACATATCAACAAGTTGACAGTGATAAATACAAAACATATACAAGCATTCAGAGGGAAGTTACTTGGATATTCACATGATATTCTCAAAGAAAAATATTTTGAAAGTAACTTATGGTCTGCCTGTGTAAATTATATATTATATTATTACTTTGTGTATAAATATTCATGTTATTCAATTTACATAGTAATGTTTGGTGGGTTTTGAGGGTTCATGTCATTAATTATTAAGAGAATTACATGCTGAACCCATACAGTGGTGTTTTATTCCTTTGATTTTTAATATCCTGTTTTACTCCATAAAAAAAGCCATGAAATAGTTGGGAAGAAAAACTTTAGGTATTCATAATAATTTCATGATTTTGTTATAGCATGGGGATTGGTTTCATTTAACCCCCTCGATTAGTTACTATATTATTTGCATCTTCTAGTGGTCTGTAAAAATTATGTAACTTTTAAATATTACTTGATCTTTTGTGGAAAACCATTTAAATTAAAAATGTAAATTATGTTTAGGTTTTGCCATTTTTAATTTCCTGTGCAAAATATTGATTGAATTGGTTTCATTGCATATGACAGAAAGATTATAAATACTTATTAGCATCTACAAGTACAGTCAAATAAAAATATCAATTTTACTTGTGACAGATTGCATACTGTGCAATCTCTGATTGGCTAAGATGCCATGTTTTATTGTTGCATACGCTCTCTAAAACAAGGCATGGCAATATCAATTAAAAATGTACTGTACACGAGTAAATACATGAACAAAAGCAATTTTTTTTCCGTATACATTACTGGTAAACTGCTAAATTGTCTGCAGTTCTGATTTTCACCAGCAAACAATATATTTAAGGTCTTTTAAAGAGTTGTTTTGATTTCTTTGCCAGTTCTAAATTCTCGTACTTGAACTCAATTTAAATATGTTCATGGAATAGTTTGGAAAAGACCAGTTTGTTCCAACATGTTTTACTTGCTTCTTTTGAGAGGATTGTTCTGATCTTGAGAACTACTTGTTTTTGGCAAACTTTTGTGTTTCCTCAATGTCCGTAATATTTGTTATTTTATATGCAAAATATTATTTTTTTAATGGGTTCATTTTTTTTACAGACAATTGGAGCAGCTTTTTGTAGAAAGGATCTTTATATACAAGGCAGGAATCTATCATTAGCAATATGGGTAAGATTTTGAATGTAATGTTATCTTATTATCCTTACATTTTGTCTGGATCTTAATTATATCATTTGTTACTAGAAACTTCTTTTTCAAATGTTAACAACCCTTTTTTTAATTAAGGACACTGCAGGAGCAGAAAGATATCAAGCTATGAGTGCAATGTACTACCGCAGTGCCAGAGCAGCCATCTTATGCTATGGTTTGTAGTGACAAGCTTGTATTTGGTTTAGATCTTGATCTTCTAGAGAAGAGTTTTCTGCTTTTTCTGTAAAACCTACGATATTTATTTGTTTTGAACAATTTTTTAAAGTTGTATAGATTACACAACGTTAAAAATAACTGAGATACTGTGCGTCTTCTCGTCGGTCAATAGGTGTATCTAGATGAAAGTATGCACTAAACAATGTTGTGACGTTTTAGATTCATGCATATTCTTGAGAAATATTCTATAAAAGCAATACTTATAGAGGACTTTTTCCATGTTCACATAGCCCCATCTAAATACTTGGAGAGGTTGGGAGAATTCTTGAAAGTTATGCAAACCCTCAAGTGTGTCTCAGGTTTGCATAATTGTCTTGAATTCTCCGAACACCAATTGTGTCCAGATGATGCTATGTAACCACAGAAAAAGTACTCTTTTGCTTAATATATTATATACTTTTCTCTATACTTAAATATATTATATACTTTTCTCTCTACAGACCTTACAGACGATACCAGTTTTGACAAAGTCAAGTTCTGGGTGGATCAACTAAAAACTGCTGAACCTGTAAGTTGTTTGAAGTCATCACCTGGGGCCTGTTTCTAGAAAGCCCTGGAAACTTTTCGCGCCCGCAAAGCAATTTTTAATTGATCTGCATCTAAAAACAGAGAGGTTTACATGCTCGAAACGTTTTGTATGAAGAGAGCTTCTCTTCATATTAAGAATATGTGAATAAAACACCTCTGTAATCATAAGGTTTGAGATTTTGCTACGGCTTTCCGCGTGCGAAAACCTTTCAGAACCTTCGAGAAATGGCCCCTGGTTTGGCTCAGATCAAACATGCCATCACTTATCGCCGGTGTTATATGTTCACTGTTAGGACTGCAAGATTTATCTTTGTGGAACTAAACTTGATCTGATAGAGGAGGCTGTGCAACCCAGGGCAGTGCAGACAAAAACAGCTTTGAATTACTGTAGAGGTCAGTTTAAAGATGGCAGAAGTACTTCTATAAATATCAAATATATCTGAATCCTAGGGTAACTCCTGTATAAAAAGGACAGGGGTGCTTGTCAGAAATTTTGAAAAAAACCTATAGAAGAGCTACCAAGATCCTGCTTCAGGGTGTGGCTTGAAATTCTTTTACCCCTAAGAGGTACCAATTCTAAAACAACACTTCATAGTTTTGAATAGCATTTAAGACAAATGTACCTTCTACTCGTAAAGTTGATTATCAGATATCTTCTGTCATATTTTTTTTTAGCTCAATACCCGAAAAAGTATGGCAAAAGCTCCTGCTATGGACCTTTTTAAGCTGCCAAAACTGCTTTTTTAACCCCTAAAAGGTACAACAGGCTCCTCCATCCTTTCTGTATGGAAGTTTCCCCAGGATCCGAATTTAATATGCAATGGTTATACCTGCAAATGATTCTTCTAGGAGTTAGAATTAAGTTTGACCATTTATCAACATCTTTACTAAAATTATTTTGAACTCAGGATTACAGTTGAATCTGTCATAAATTGACTGGTCTGTGCATGGAAGGCTGCCCTCGTCAAAAAACTTTCAAGGATCCTCAAGGTCCCTTGAGGATCTTCCTGAGTATCTTATCAAGGAAAAGTTCCCCAAACATCTTGGTCAAGGTCTTTAAGGATCTTTAAATTCTTGCCAGGACCTTCAAGGTTCTTGAAAGATTTTGCTTAAGGATCTTGCCTTGATATTTGAAGATCTTGGGGGATCCTTGCAAAGATATTGAAAAGATGTATAAAAATGTAATATATGTAAAATCTTTCATTATTTTACTGAACCTTTCAGTGTCACCCGAACTTTTTGAATTTTTTGAAGGTCAAAACCTAGCTAACAACTGTGTTTTTGGCTGCCATCAATCATGATTACAGTGATAACCAAGGAACCTTGAAAATAGAAAAAAAGCACAAATATGGATCGAAGTCTGCCAATCACTATGTCCCACAGACATGACCTTTTGAACCTGTTGAAGTAAACTTCTGTTTCCCCTGAGGTCCACTTAGACCATTCATGGCAACAAAACACAGCACCATTGATTGATCAGAGTTTGTGCATCACTGAAATGCTCAGTAAAGATTTTTTTGGAACCCGTGTATTTTCACCGGGGTAAAAAATATGTTAAGTAGTGTTTGCACAATGTATGTGGCTGGAACTTTGACCAAGGTTTGGTTTACAGGAGGTGGCTGTGTTTATGAGAGTATTCTGTGAGCAGATGTTTTTTGTTAATTGACGGAGGAATACTATGCCTTAGTAACTTGTCCTTTGTTGTGTTCTTTCATGTAGACATTGGTGCAGATGTGTTTGAAACATCAAGCAAAAGAGGATACAATGTGGGTACGTTTCAATATAATTTAAGCAATAAATGACTGGAAGGTATACAGTATATTAAGGAATTGCTCCATGTTAGTTACAAGTGCTAGTCTTAAATACTGAGATTACTTTCCTAATTTCTGTTGTCAGACAAAGTTTTCGAAAAGATAGCTGAGGATTTTATGAAATCCAGCCATATGATAGACTCAGGTATGGCAACTTGTTTGTGAAGAATTTTTTTTCAGGCTTTAATTTCACAACTGCTTACATTGTGTATATAACTACAATGATCAATCATGTCTTCATATCTTTCTCTGCAGTTCAAATATATGATCTCTTATATTCACTTGCATAACTTGTTTGTGTTGTACTGTATTTCATCCAGAATAGCAGGAAGCAAATAATTTTGCTAAGGTAGTAACTGACGTCATCATCAGTTGCAATCCCATGTGGGTTTTTTTTTTTGCAATCTTTGCAAAAGGTAGAACTGTGTGCAATGCATTCTGCATTGGTTTCACAACCTCTTGATTTTATTATTCATTATCATTGCTATAAAAACTATAATGCAATTTGGGCAGTGAAGTCACACTTTTCCTTACATAAAGTTGAACTTGAAGTTGAACTTTGAACTTGCCCCTGCAACTAGTTCCAGAACTAATCAAGGCAGGGGCAAGAGCTTATATTAAAGTTGGTCCCATAGAGATTCTCAAGTAACACAAGCTTAGTCAAACATTGTACAGTAACACACTTGCTCAGGCTGTTTCTGTTTACTCAATGGTCTCTAAATCAACTCACAGTAAAAAAATCTTAAAGGAAGTCAACCATGTGACTGAAAGTACCTGTTTATAAAACTGATCATTTTTTTTTCAAGTTTGTAGTTGGTAATCAGTTTTAATCTTCCCCAGTTCTAATCATTCTTTGGTTTGTTATTAATTCGTACAAATGGTGTTTTTCTACTGTGGAAAACTACTAGTTTGAGGTTTCATTCAGTGATCTCTTAATAAATAAAAAAGATAACTTTAAATATTGTGGCATCGTTGCGTCTTTAAACTGGCAGCCTGTGCAATAAAATGGGACATGATCTTTGCTCCTTTTTCATCAGGACCGAAGGGAAATGTGCAGCTTGATGGCAAGTCAGCAACAAAAAGATGGTGTTGCTAACAGAAGTGTATGAAGTGATGCCATGGAGAACCTGTGGTATGCAGAGTACAAGATATTGTGCCACAAGAAACCCATAGAGATTGGAACAGTCAGTTCTGTTCACAGGGCAGGTTACATGCTCAATACTGAGATAACACACTGACCTGAAAAATAAACATAAATAACTAAAACTTAGTTTATATTTAAAATATATACGTCAATTTAACACTGTAAACTTCAACTTATAATATGTTCATCCAATGATTTTATTTTAAAACAGTTTCAAAAAGAAACAAATCATATCGAGTTCAGTGGCAGATCCAGACTTTGAGCTAGGGGGGGGGGG